TGAAATACTAATAAGTTTATATTTGTTAAAATTGTTCTTCATTTTAATTATTGTATTGTTTTAAAGTGGGCTTTTTTTGCACTACAAATAAGATATGTGTAATGTGCATAGGAATTCATTCATATATTTTTTCAAATTATAATCCAGCCCTCCAACAGTTTGAGGGACTGTGACCTGGCCCTCTGTTTAAAAAGTTTGATGACCCCTATTTTAAGGCATTGAATAGTTGCCTATATGTAAAGCTGCGTTCGGGGTTGAGAAAGATGGGGTATAAATAGGGCAAATAAATAAATACATTTCTTCAAACCAAAAACCCAGGGACCTTCCACACAGCCCTATATCCCAGAATATCGAGATAGAAAATCCCACAATATCTGTTTTGAACTGGGTTATCTGAGTCCACACTCAGATAATGTAGGATTTTCTGAGATATAGGGCTGTGTAGAAGGGCCCCCTGTCACTTTTAGAATTTTTAAAGCATTTTTGGCCACTCAAAGTCCACTACAGGGACCTGGGGCAGAAATTGCCCCCAGACTCACTGAGGTTTGTCCTCTCCTAGTTCAGTCATTCAAATATAGTGATGGTTTAGTCTTAGATCTACATGGGACCGGAGAAACGGGGGAGGGGGGGTGCATCGGGGTAATTGAAATTTGGTCATTCCTGAGTTCAATTCTTATCTCTCATTATATTAGGTTGCTGATAATGTGAAGAATTTTTATGATTCAGTATATAAGAAAAGAAGCGAACCTTCTGCCAAAGAAACTCTGAGAGCTCTTCAACATGCTGTAAGTCCGGTCTCTTATATTAATTTTGTGTCTTTGCATTTTGCAATCATAAAAAATGGGTTTACTGCTCTTTTTTTACTCTTTAAGTTTCCCTTTTCCTTCCCAACATCCTCTGTCATTGATGTTACATCTGTGTAAAGCATTAATATAATATAAATCCACTTCTTCAGATTCAGTCCATAAAAAGCTCATGCAAAAACAAAAAAAGCAGCTAAAGATGCTGCCGTGTTCCTTTTCTTCTCCCCCCCCCCCTCCTCTTTTTTATCCTGCACTGCTACTTCTTTGAAAACTTCTGCAACATTCACTTCTTTTCTCTTCTTTTTGCATCCATTTAAAAGTATGATAACTGGTAGATTATCATACAGATAACTGGTAGATTATCATACAGTTAAAACTAGTGCGCCAGCTGCACCCGTACCTTGGGAAGCCTGACTTGGCCACGGTAGTCCATGCTCTAGTCACATCCCGTTTAGACTACTGCAATGCTCTCTACATGGGGTTGCCTCTGAAGACTGCTCGGAAGCTTCAAATGGTCCAACAATCAGCAGCCAGGATGCTAACAGGAGCGGCACTCAGGGAGCACACCACTCCACTGCTGCTCCAGCTCCACTGGCTGCCAATTTGCTACCGGGCACAATTCAAATTGCTGGCTTTAGCCTTTAAAGCCCTAAACAGTTCTGGCCCGACCTACCTGTCCGAACGTGTCTTGAGCCATTGATTGAGGCTCTGGGTTTGAGCCTGCCACTTTTGGACTCTCGCTTGCTGAGGTGTTCCAGCGAGTGTCTCTGTAGATCTTAGGAAACGATTTCTTGATTTAAGTCATTGATGTGCTGGCTGAAACCCAAACAGGGTGGGCTGGAGATATCACTGCCTTGGTCCTTTCACTATTGGCTGCTACTTCCTGGCGGATGTCAGGTGGTGCAATACCAGCCAAACAGTGTAATTTCTCCAATGGTGTAGGGCGCAGACACCCTGTGATAATGCAGCATGTCTCATTAAGAGCCACATCTACTGTTTTAGCATGGTGAGATGTGTTCCACACTGGACATGCATACTCAGCAGCAGAGTAGCATAGCACAAGGACAGATGTCTTCACTGTATCTCGTTGTGATCCCCAGGTTGTGCCAGTCAGCTTTTGTATGATATTGTTTCTAGCGCCCACTTTTTGCTTGAAATTCAGGCAGTGCTTCTGATTGCTGCCTGGGGTGATCCTTTTGAGAGTGGTTCCACAACTCACAAAGGACTGATGCACATTAAGGGGATCCTTTTGCACACTTTTGAAGGACTTTGTTGTCAAGCTGCAGCAGTGATGGTACCTTTGAACTCCGTTAAATGGTCAGTGTAGCTTAGTAGCTATTTACAGGACATTTACTTTTGAAATGCAATTTCATTTTTCAAATGTTTCTTTTCTGTATGTTGTAGCTAAACTGCTGTGGCTATACTGGAGCAATTGAGGCGACATTTCAAGACACCTGCCCCAAACAAGAACTTTCTGAAATGCTTAAATTACAGGTATGTATGAATAATCATCTGCACTGAGAAAGTCTATGATTTTCCTTCTGTGTGCAACTATACATTGAATTTAATATAATTCCCACCCTCCTCTTGACACTTATGGATTTATTTCTGGGATCATCTGTACTGACCAGTTAGGTTAGTGTGTAACTGCATCAACCTTGTGGTGGCTTAATGTGGCTTTAGCCTGGCTGGAATTAAGTCAGGAGAAAGCCCAAATCCTGACCTAGGATTCAGGTTGTCCCCAAACTTAGAGGCAGTCAAACCAGTTGGACTGGTTCCTAATCAGCTGCAACTGGCTTGACTGTCACCAAACTTTCCCCAGGCTCAGGTGACCTGGATACATGAGATGACAGTCCCCTGTGTCCTATCTCCTCCCCATGCCTCACAACTGTTTGTGTCTGCATGGGTACATCTGAAATTTGGAGATGCATGAATGTAAGACTTTCATAATCCTGTCAATGAGCAACTTTTCAGAAATAGGCGTGTCATGGAGAAAACGAATGGTGAAAAAGGAAGATATTTCTTAAGATTCTGTTCAACTATCCTTGTAAAAAATGAGAGAAACAAACCATTCAACTATTTTTGCACCTCTACCACAAAATAAAGAGGTCAGACAACAAATAATAATAATATTAATAATATATTTATATACCGCTCTATCTCTTTGAGGGGACTCAGAGTGGTTCCCCGGTAACATCACAAAACATACAAAGTAAAACGACATAACCATAAGATTAACAAAACAATATAAGCATAAAAATTGTTGCCATAACACACATATATTAAAAGTAATCCTGCCTGTTCAAGGCAATTTAAAATTTAAAATTTATATATATGATTATAATATATATCATATAAATATGATATATGTTATCATATAAAATTTATATATATATATATATATATATATATATATATATATATATATATGATATATATCATTTAATATATCATGTTAAATATATATGATATAAATGGACCAATATTTTATCAATCTGTTTAATTATTCATTGTAACTGCTGCAACCTGCAGAAAAAAAGAGGCAATTAAATCCTCCTAATGTATAGGTGGATAGTCGTGGCCTAGGTGTCAATCCCAAGGCTATTTCAACCTACTACCTCTGGGCCAGCACCGAAATCCCAAGACAAGCTAAATTATCATGCCCTGTTCGTTTTAATGGAGGATGCTCCCTCCCAAACCCTAAGAAGTAAGGGGAATATGGAAAGATTTTCAGACAAAGATTTTATGAAAGGATTAAACTTGATTTATCATTTGAAGGAGAGAGTGGCTACAATGTTGGTACTAACAACACTGTAGATCAGGCGTGGGCAGCCTTTGGCCCTCCAGGTGTTTTGGACTTCAACTCTCACAATAACAACAACAACAACAACAACAACCCAGTGGTCATTGGCGCACTGGGTGCCGTGCCAAAAGATCTCAGCCGACACTTGGAAACAATAAACATTGGCAAAATCATGATCTGTCAACTGCAAAAGGCCACCTTACTTGGATCTGCATGCATCATTCGAAAATACATCACACAGTCCTAGACGCTTGGGAAGTGTTCAACTTGTGTTTTTGTGATACGAAATCCAGCATATAGATCTCATTTGCTGTGACATACTGTGCTTTTGTGTCAATAATAATAATAATCACAATCTAGAGCAGAAGAGAAAACTGGTGAAAAAAGGCTCTCCATGGACAGTTCCTGGGAAAAACTGAGAGCCAAATTGACAAAGAAAAAACATGGCTGTGGCTCACAAATGGAACTCTGAAAAAAGGAGGCGGAGGGCCTGATTCTGGCAGCCCAAGAACAATCCATTAGAACCAATGCCATCAAAGCCAGAATTGAAAATTCGATGACAGATCCCAAGACTCTGCAAGGGAGCAGATGAAACAATAGATCACATCCTCAGCTGCTGCAAGAAGATGGCGCAGGCAGACGACAAGCAGAGGCATAACACCATTGCTCAGATGATTCATTGGAACTTGTGCCACAAATATCATCTACTTGTGACAAAGAATTGGTGGGATCACAAGCTGGAAAAAGTTACAGAGAATGAACACATCAAGCTACTTTGGGACTTCCGAACTCAAACAGTTGTGGAGCACGATACTCCTGATCTCACAATTGTGTTAAATAACAAAGTATGGATCGTCGATGTTGCAATTCCAGATGACAGCAGGATTGAAGAGAAACAACTGGAAAAGATGACACGATATGAGGATTTAAAGATCTAACGGCAAAGGCTTTGGCACAAGCAAGTCAAAGTGGTCCCAGTGGTGATCGGCACACTTGGTGCAGTGCCTAAAAACTTTGGTCTGCACTTAAACACAATTGGCACTGACAAAATTATCATCTGCCAGCTGCAGAAGGCCACCTTACTGGGATCTGCACGCATTATTGGCCGATACATCACACAGTCCTAGACACTTGGAAAGTGTCCAACGTGTGATCCAATTCAACAGCCAGCAGAGTGTCTGCTGTGGACTTATCTTGTTGTGTTTCAAATAATAATAATAATAATAATAATAATAACAACAACAACAACAACGACAACAACAACAATTATTACTACTACTACTACTACTACTACTTTATTTTTGTACCCCACCTCCATCTCCCTTCTCAAAGGGACTCGGGACAGCTTACATATGGCACAATGTGCCTAAAGCAACGCATATAATAAACACAAATACAAGATAAAACCGATTGCATATAAAACAATAATTCAAGTTCAAAAACAGCACCCAATCACCTATGGTGAGAATTGTCATAAAACATGGCCAACTGTAAACAAGAACAAGGGAATAGGATAGCTAATGAATTAGGGCATGGGACAAAATTGTGGACCATTGGGGCTAGATATTCCCAACAGCTGGTAAGCTGGCTGGGATTTCTGGGAGCTGATGTCCAAAGCACCTGCAGGGCCAAAGTTTGCCCGTGCCGGCTGTAGATGTCGGTTTCATTGGCATTTATCTAGAGTTTAACATGAGCAGAGTGCTTGAGGAACAATAAAAGGACATTTAGAGTAAACAGAAGCTTGAAAGGAATGTGACCAGGGGCAATAAAACAATTCTTCCTCGGCTACTTTATTTTATGTTTGTTCTTTGAGCTGTCAACCATGAAAATATTACCTCCATATCTGTTACCTCTAGCCCCTTCCTGTTCATTTACTCAATGTGATTGCTTCCCATGGCCCTTTTGGACACAAATCTCAGTCATGGTTCATTATATCAGTTTCTGAGAAGAGGCAAAAAAAAAAGCAGAATGAGTGTGACTTCCTGGTTCTGGGTGATATAGATGGGATCCCCCCCCCCCCCCCGCTCCAGCACCAACCACTGCTCTGAGATCAGAGTGAAGGGAGGGGCCATGAAGGCAGGTCCATCTTGCCTCCAGTGTCATCAGTTGGGAGCCCCCCCCCCAGCACCAACCGCTGTTCTGAGATCAGAGTGAAGAGAGGGGGGAAGGCAGGTCCATCTTGCCTCCAGTGTCATCAGTTGGGAGCCCCCCCTCCCTCCAGCACCAACCGCTGCTCTAAGATCAGAGTGAAAAGAGGGGCCATGAAGGCAGGTCCATCTTGCCTCCAATGTCATCAGTTGGGAGCCCCCCCCCCCCAGCACCAACCGCTGCTCTGAGATCAGAATGAAGAGAGGGGCCATGAAGGCAGGTCCATCTTGCCTCCAGTGTCATCAGTTGGGAGCCCCCCCCCCCCTCCAGCACCAACCACTGCTCTGAAATCAGAGTGAAAAGAGGGGCCAGGAAGGCAGTTCCATCTTGCCTCCAGTGTCATCAGTTGGGAGCCCCCCCCCCCCAGCACCAACCGCTGCTCTAAGATCAGAGTGAAAAGAGGGGCCATGAAGGCAGGTCCATCTTGCCTCCAATGTCATCAGTTGGGAGCCCCCCCCCCAGCACCAACCGCTGCTCTGAGATCAGAGTGAAGAGAGGGGCCATGAAGGCAGGTCCATCTTGCCTCCAGTGTCATCAGTTGGGAGCCCCCCCCCCCTCCAGCACCAACCGCTGCTCTGAGATCAGAGTGAAGAGAGGGGCCAGGAAGGCAGTTCCATCTTGCCTCCAGCGTCATCAGTTGGGAGCCCCCCCTCCCCCCCCACAATACCAACCAGTGCTCTGAGATCAGAATGAAGAGAGGGGCCAGGAAGGCAGGTCCATCTTGCCTCCAGTGTCGTCAGTTGGGAGCCCCCCTGCCTCCAGCACCAACCTCTGCATTGAGATCAGAGTGAAGAGAGGGGCCATGAAGGCAGGTCCATCTTGCCTCCAGTGTCATCGGTTGGGAGCCCCCAGCCCCTCCAGCACCAACCGCTGCTCTGAGAGATGCCATGAAGGCAAGTCCATCTTGCCTCCTGCACTGTGCTTATAATATTATATAATATAATACAATATATTGTATATACATATAATATTGATAATATTATAATGTAATACCAATATAATATTAATAGTAATAATATATTATAATTATATATTTTATATTAAATGTAATATTACTAATAATATTATAATGTTATAGTACAATGTAATATATAATATTAATATTGTGCTATGGTAATAATAAAATATATTGCATTTACTTTCTATCTGTAAGCCGCTCTGAGTCCCCTTTAGGGTGAGAAGGGCGGCATATAAATGTTGTAAATAAATAATAAATAATTATTATTATTTATTTATTTCGGTTTCTTCTACCCCGCCCTTCTCACCCCGAAGGGGACTCAGGGTGGCTTACAAAAGCAAAGGCACAATTCGATGCCCGCATCACATAACAGTCGTAAAACAAAATAGCATCAATTCACAGTTAAACAACAATTCCTGCATTACAACCATAAAACCAATAATAACACAAGTTTAAAGTGGGAAAATAAAGGAGAAGTAAAGGAAGGAAGAAAAAGATATTTCCTTGTGTGTCTTGGGAGGGCTTCAAACTTACTCCCGATCTATTTTTGCAGTTACTTTCGCATTAAATGCAGACATCTAAGGGCCCTTCCACACAGCCCTTTATCCCAGAATATCAAAGCAGAAAATCCCACGTTATCTTGGTGTGGACTCAGATAACCCAGTTCAAAGCAGATATTGTGGGATTTTCTGCCTTGATATTCTGGGATATAGGGCTGTGTGAAAGGGCCCTAAGTTATTCTACGCAACCTTAAGGAGCTGCCATGGAATATAGACATTGCACTGACTTGGTTATAGAATTCTCAATAGCCGCTTTGTGTCTTAGTAACCAAACTGCCTCATAGTGAACTTTTTGTTCCACGGTTGAAAGAACAAAATTTGAGTTGAGCCTTCAGATGGGTGATAAATCTTGGCTTGAAATGCCCGTGAGCCCCCCCGCCCCTCGGTTGCATTCTCAAAGCAGTATTGTGCTGCTGCTGCTCTGTGAAACTTGTTCTACAGCTTTCACTGCCCTTAAACGTTAGTCATGGAAGCAACAAACAATTATTGGCAGAACATTTCTCACATTTTTGCCAAGGATGGACAAACTGGTTCAGTTTGCACAGAGGAGTTTGATCCTACAGTGGAAGCTTCCTCCTTCGTCTTGCTTATCCTCTTGTATTCAAGGCACCCCTGACAGATGGCCATCCAGCCTCTGTTTAAAAGCCTACAAAGAAGGAGCCTCCACCACACTCCAGGGCTGAGAGTTCCACTGCTGAACATCTCTCACAATCAGGAAGTTCTTCCTAATGTTCAGATGGAATCTCCTCTCTTGTAGTTTGAAGGCATTGTTCCGCATCCTAGAAAACAAGCTTGCTCCCCGCTCCCTATTACTTCCTCTCACATATTTATACATGGCTATCATGTCTCCTCTCAGCCTTCTCTTCTACAGGCTAAACATGCCCAACTATTTAAGCCACTCCTCATAGGGCTTGTTCTCCAGACCCTTGATCATTTTAGTCGCCCTCCTCTGGACACATTCCAGCTTGTCAATATCTCCCTTCAATTGTGGTGCCCAGAATTGGACACAATATTCCAGGTGTAGTCTAACCAAAGCAGAATAGAGGGGTGGAATGACTTCCCTGGATCTAGACACTAGACTCCTATTGATGCAGGCCAAAATCCCATTGACTGTTTTTGCCACCGCATCACATTGTTGGCTTATGTTTAACTTGTTGTCCATGAGGACCCCAAAATCTTTTTCACATGTACTGCTCTCAAGCCAAGAGAGCCCTTCTTCCTGCTCTTCTTATTCTACAGGGGAACTTGAGATCCATCACTAAAGGAAGTGGCTTGGGAGACACTTAGCAAGAGGGACGCTAGGGCAGGACTCCATTATATAATAATAATAATAATTATTATTATTATTATTATTTATACCCCGCCACCATCTCCCCAAAGGGGACTCGGGGCAGCTTACATGAGGCCAAGCCCAGAAATGCATTACAATACAGTAACAAAAAAACATAAGGCAATATCATAATAAAATAAAATAAGACAAGCATAAAATATAACAAAACAATCCAAAATAATACAATAGAAAATCAAACACAATCACAAGGAGCGGGCCACATGTGTAAAATCCAGTGATAAAAACTCAGGATGAGATAAAGATAAAAACCTACATATTTGTAAAAGAGACTCATAAACAGAGGAGGAGTGAACCTTTAGGTTGGGCATAAGATTGACCTAATCAATGAGATACATGCTTTGTGATCTAGTAAAAATCTTGCACAGTCTTCATTATCCAGTATTATTGAACATGTCTGCTTCATTTCTCTTCTAGTCATGCCATGCCGCTATTGATGATTTCTTCACCACAAAACTGAACGTGATTGGAGCAGTGGGCATTGTTGTTGGTGTGGTGATGGTACGTTGTGACTTTTTCATGAATTTATGGGTCAATGTGATATAATTAAAATGTGGTTCTTAATTTAGCCAAACATGTAAGGGAGGCATGGCACCCCTAAACTGATGGCATGTGGGGGCGGGGAGGGACAATTCCATCTTGTCTCCTGCATATGTCATCAACTGGGGATCCCTCCCCCCAGCACCAACTGCTGCTCTGGGGCAGAGTGGGGGGGGGAGGGCAGGGGACAGTCCCACCTTGTCTCCTGTGCTATTCTAATAATACAATACAGTACAGTACAATACAATATATTGTATATACATATATTTATAATATTATAATATAATGCAATATAATACTACTAATAATAATATAATATTATAATTATATGTGTATATTACATGTAATATTACTAATAATATTACAATATAATGGTATAGTACAATATAGTAATATTTAATACTGCTATTGTACTATGCTAATAATATAATATAATATATTGTATGTGTGTGTGTGTGTATATATATATATATATAGAGAGAGAGAGGGGGAGAGTAAGCCATTCTGAGTCCCCTTCGGGGTGAGAAGGGGGGCATATAAATGTCGTAAATAAATAAATATTACACATAGCACATGGGTATGGTGGAAATCTAAATACACAAGAAGCCTTGTAAATTGTAAATTAGGGAGCCCCTGGTGGTGCAGTGGGTTAAAGTGCTGAGCTTGTTGACCGAAAGGTCCCAGGTTCGAATCTGGAAAGTGGCGTGAGTTTCCGCTGTCAGGCCCAGCTTCTGCCAACCTAGCAGTTCGAAAACATGCAAATGTGAGTAGATCAATAGGTAACACTCTGGCAGGAAGGTAACAGCGTTCCTTGCAATCATGCCAGCCACATGACCTTGGAGGTGTCTATGGACAACGCCGGCTCTTCGGCTTAGAAATTGAGATGAGCACCAACTCCCAAGGTCAGGCACGACTGGACTTAATGTCAGGGGAAAACCTTTATCTTTACCTTCTAAATTATTTGTAGTGTTGTAGAACAGTTGACAGATGTAAATGATATTTAAAATGTTAAAAATCAATGAGTACCTTTAAGGGTCAAGGACAGGCATGTAGCCGGGGGGGGGGGGGGGGGGGGCTTCAGCCCCCCCCCCGGAAATTCTCATGGTGGTTCGCGAAAAGGCCTTACTGGTGCATTATTTAAACTGTTATGTTTATTCATATCATGATCTGATCACCATACTCAATATATCCCATATGCATGGGGGTATTGCGGTAATGATACAAAAGGTTTGCTAGGCTAGACCCTCTTTCACTCAGACTCAGCCCGCCCCCCCCTGAAAAAAATCCAGCCCCCCCCCCCCCCCCGAAACGAAATCCTGGCTACGGGCCTGGATAGAACTCACCCCCCCCCCCCCCCCCCCCCGAAACAAAATCCTGGCTAGGGGCCTGTTCAAGGACATTTAAATTCTTCATGGCAGTGCTCAAGATACAAAGTGTTGTGCACAGATTTTATTTAAGGAAACAGATCCAGGTTGTAGTCAAGGCAGATGAATGCCTAGATGAGCTGGAATGAACACAAGCATTAGAAACATGGATCTGGGAGGGGTTATTTCAACATGCACGGGCTATTGATTTGGCTTTATTTCTGTAGTGATTTCTTTAGTACATTCCCTAGTAGTGCAGTGGGTTAAACTGCTGAGCTGTTGAACTTGCTGACCAAAAGGTTGGCAGTTCGAATCTGGGGGGTGGGGTGAGCTCCCACTGTTAGGTCCAACTTTTGCCAACCTAGCGGTTCGAAAACATGCAAATGTGAGTAGATCAATAGGTACAGCTTTGGCAGGAAGGTAATGGCACTCCATGCAGTCATGCCGGCCACATGACCTTGGAGGTGTCTACGGACAACACAGGCTCTTTGGCTTAGAAATGGAGATTATCACCACCCCCCAGAGTCGGACACAACTAGACTTAATGTCAAGGGGAAACTTTACTTTCCCTATGCCCATTCTATCCTTTATTAGACTAAGACCCTGCTCCTTTAAGGACTTCTTACAAATGTTGACATTGAATAGTTTTACAAAACAATATAGTGCCATTTAGCTGCGTTGTGCTGGACTCAATAATCTGCTTTATCTTTGCAGTGTGAGTCACTTTTAAGATTTCTATCACAGGCTGGCAATACAACAACGAAAAAACGTGTGCTTGTTGACACATCTTTATAAGGGTGAACCAATACATTTTCAGTCACAACTAATTCCAAATGTCAAAGATCACACTATGTTTGTCTTGCTGATCTATATCACTTCTCTTGAAGTAATTTTCTGCCCGGGTTTCTTTTTCAGATTTTTGGTATGATTTTCAGCATGATCCTTTGCTGTGCTGTTCGCAGAAGCAGAGAAATGATTTAACACCATCTCGGTGGACGCCGTTCCTGTATACAAGGAATTTGTGACTATTAAATCAGCATTCCTAAAGGCAGTTCTTAAATTAATATGTATATTTAATTCTTTATTTCATACTGATGTTCTTAAATTTTGCTGATGTTTTTAAAAACTTTAAAGGAATCTGCTATTGAAAAATTACCAACAACTTGTATATAAGGTTTTTATCTCTAAAATTGTGTTTTTCTTTCTTCAGACTTACAACTGGCATTGTAACTTGTGTTGAAGAATATTTGATACTTAATAAAGATTTAACAACACACAACTGCTTTAATTTTCTTGAATCTGTTGTGGGAGATGAGGTTGACTTGATCTCTTATGCAATGCTTTAGAGCAGCGTTTCTCAACCTGGGGGTCGGGACCCCTGGAGGGGTCATGAGGGAGTGTTAGGGGGGTCACAAAGACCATCAGAAAACACAGTATTTTCTATTGGTCCTGGGGGTTCTGTATGGGAAGTTTGGGCCAATTCTATCGTTGGTGGGGTTCAGAATGCTCTTTGGTTATAGGTAAACTATAAATCCCAGCAACTACAACTTCCAAATGTCAAGTCTATTTCCCCCAAACTCCACCAGTGTTCACATTTGGGTATCTTGAATATTCGTGCCAAGTTTGATCCAGATTCATCATTGTTTGAGTCCACAGTGCTCTCTGGATGTAGGTGAACTACAAACCCCAAACCCAAGGTCAATGCCCACCAAACCCTTCCAGTATTTTATGTTGTTCATGGGAGTCCTGTGTGCCAAGTTTGATTCAATTCCATCATTGGTGGAGTTCAGCATGCTCTTTGATTGTAGGTGAACTATTAATCCCAGCAACTACAACTCCCAAATGACAAAACCATAATTTTTGAGTGATGGTCACTCCTTGTATTGTGGGATGTTTTGTTGCCAAATTTGGTGTGAACTAAAGTAAAGATACTGTTACTGGGACCAAGCGTTCCATTAGTGAGCAGCAAGTAAAAGAAGATTTTAATATTTATGGCAATGATTTGACCCGGACTGGATTTTAGACTCCGATTTTAATAGGTGTATGTTATTCAATTGTTTTAATTATTGTTTTAATATTTTAATGTATTTTATTGCTTTATTATGATGACACCGTATGGTGTTTGTGAGGCCGCCCTGAGTCCCTCCTCTGGGGTGAGAAGGGTGGGGTATAAATATAGGAAATAATAATAATAATAATAATAATAATAATAATAATTTGTTTCACAGGCCTAAGTGACATTTTATTATACAGCAGGATATACCTTGATTTAAATACTGTGATAAAACTTCTACTTATTCTGCTTATACACATTAACCAACCCTTACAAGATCATCAAGACACAATACAGCCATAGAGTGCTGATTGTTAGAGACTGCAAGCAAGTCTTTTCCCAGCCCATGCAGGGAAACAGTTTTACTACAACAGATACAGCAACCTTACATAACATAGGCAGACCTGCAGAACTTGGTTGTGGGCATGGGCCAAAATTAAAATAGGCTAAACTTCTTTGGGCCACATGGCCAGAACGAGTGATTTGGGGGGCACCTTGCTCTTGGGGAGCTTGTCCACAGAATCTTTGGCATCCTTCCCACAGCCATCAGCATAAGATGTGATTTAGGAGAACACTGGGTGTGACAGAAATACTAAAACACAAAAGAGTTCACAAAGGTTGGAAGTTTCTGAGAAATGAAATATCGGAGGCACTACTTCCAACAGTTCTAATCAGAAGGAGGAATGGGAGGTTATCTAAAGAAACCAGAACAGACATGTAAACAACTTCCAAGCGAGCTAACATTTATAGAAATGGAGAAAAGTCACCAAAGAAGAAGGGGAGAGACTAATAGAACATTTGGGATGCTGGATGTTTCGTGAAAGTCTGTGCCATCTGTAAACCTCCTTCTGGAATGTAATCTCCTGTAAATGCCAATAGGGCAGAGACCGTACCACAGTGCAAAAGTCAGATGGAAAGTAGGTTTGCTGCCAAACGACCTTAGGCACAGGTCCCAGATTGAACATGCGCCTCCCCCAGAAAAGTTGGGGTCGGATCTAGATGAGGTCTGGGGAGGTCTGATGGAAAGGCCTCCGCCCAGTGTGTGTAGGAAGTTAGTGACTGGAGGCTGATAGTAAAAACAAGCAGCAGAGTTTACATCACAAAAGTAACGCACAACAGAATGAACAAAGCAATGAGAAAAGAACAGCAAAATATCCGCTCTCCTAGACTGTGTCCTTCAGAACAGGAGAAGAGGTGAGGGTAAATCTCAGGATGAACAAGCGTGAAACTTTTATTAGAATGACATGGCTCTCAGAAGACGCTTACTTCTTGGGAGGAGAGCAATGACCAATCTCAATAAAATAGTGAAGAGTAGAGACATCACACTGGCAACGAAGCTCCGCATAGTAAAAGCAATGGTATTCCCCGTAGTAACCTACGGATGTGAGAGTTGGACCTTAGGGAAGGCTGAGCGAAGGAAGATAGATGCTTTTGAGCTGTGGTGTTGGAGGAAAGTTCTGAGAGTGCCTTGGACTGCCAGAAGATTCAACCAGTCCATCCTCCAGGAAATAAAGCCCGGCTGCTCACTGGAGGGAAGGATACTAGAGACAAAGTTGAAGTACTTTGGCCACATCATGAGGAGACAGCAAAGCCAAGAGAAGACAATTATGCTGGGGAAAATGGAAGGAAAAAGGAAGAGGGGCTGACAAAGGGCAAGATGGATGGATGGTATCCTTGAAGTGACTGGCTTGACCTGAAGGAGCTGGGGGTGGTAACGGTCGACAGGGAGCTCTGGTGTGGGCTGGTCCATGAGGTCACGTAGGGTCGGAAGTGACTGAACAAATGAACAATAACAATATGGCTCTCCTATTACCAGCTTCCTAGTTCCTCTCGGGATCATTGTAGTGAATCTGAGATGGATGGCTCTGACACAGGAAAGGACCACTTTTCCCTTTTAGGATCCAGATCTAAAGCCCCCGGTGGCGCAGTGGGCTAAATCCCTGTGCTGGCAGGACTGAAGATCGACAGGTCACAGGTTCAAATCTGGAGAGAGGCGGATGAGCTCCCTCTATCAGCTCCAGCTCCTCATGTGGGGACATGAGAGGAGCCTCCCACAAGGATGATAAAAACATCAAATCATCTGGGCGTCCCCTGAGCAACATCCTTGCAGATGGCCAATTCTCTCACACCAGAAGCGACTTGCAGTTTCTCAAGTCACTCTTGACATGACAAAAAAACAAAAAACAAAAAAAAATCCAGATCTAGACAATTTGATTGGAATTCTATCGAATTTTGACTTCCTCTTTCTCCTATTCAACTGTGTGAAAGAAAAATGTGCATAATCTCTTTTGTTTCCTTTGAGTCATAGCACTGGAAGAGTCTGCGTGAGCCATCTAGTCCAACACAATCAAAGCACCCCCAAAAGGTGACTATCCCAAAAGGTGACTTCGGTTTAGAAGACTCCAGGGAAGGAACTTCCACCACACTCCAAGGCAAAGAGTTCCACTTTTATAAAGGGACCCTGTCTTTGGGCCCTTACACACAGCCATATAACCCAGAATATCAAGGCTGATTATCCACAATATCTGCCTTGAACTGGATTATCTGAGTCCACACTACCATATAATCCAGTTCAATGTGGATTTTATACAGCTGTGTGGAAGGGGCCTTTATTTCTCAATTGGTATGTCTGTACATGCCCAGGGCGTGTGCTTGGGTGCTGCAACTCAACATAAGAGAGCTTGGCTGCTTGTGAGTCATTCCTTTGAGGGGGTGGTGGTGGAAGATATGTGTTTTTTCCAGCTTTTGTTTTGTCCCATTCATTCACTTGGCCAGTTGCTAGGAAAGATGTGTGTGTGCGCGCATGCGTGTGTGCACATCTGCCCTTTTGCTGTTGGTTTATGATAATTTGCTGGTGGGGGGAGCCAACCTCTACCAAACGGGGAGGGAAATTTGGAAAAAGAGGGATTGATTCAGACCCACTGGGAACCTCTTTGAAGCTGTTCCATTCAACACAATAGTGTTGATGAGAAAAACAAGACACAAACAGCGTAGATATGTGTTTCCCAAACTTTTAAAGCCTAGAGTCAGTTCATGGCCCCTCAGACTGTTGGGGACCAGACTAGAGTTTGAAACAAACATGAAAAAAATTCCAATGCACACTGTATATATGCATTGCAAAAAAAATTGGAAGAACAATACGTTATTTAAAATTAAGAACATTTTAATCAACATAAACTCACCATTATTTGAATGGGAAGTGTGGGCCTGCTTCTGGCTAACGAGATAGTCAAGTTAACTAGGATTGTTGTTGTGTGCCGTCAAGTCATTTCAGACTGAGGGCAATCTGGTTTAGGGTGGGGAATGGTTAAATGACCTTCGGGGCCGGCCCTAGGTAATTTACAAATGCAAGCAAACAGTATTTTCCCCTTCCTTCCCCACCATCGCTGCCTTCTCCTTCCCAAGCAGGAGCCAGAGAGGGAGAGAAGCAACAGGAGCAAAGAGAGGCATGCTGAGGGTGACGAGGAAGGCCCTGGCGGCGGCAGCGAGGAGGAGGAGGAGGTGGAATAGGAGGAGGAGGAAGAAACACCAGCAGCAGCAGCACGAAGAGGGGAGTCACCATGTTGTCGCAGCCTCCTCTGAGGGCCTGACCAGCCCCTTCCTTCCCCGCTGCCGCCTCCTCCACCTCCTTGGAGTCTAACCAAGCTGCCCTGGGCGGCCACGCCTTCGCCTCAGGAGGAGGAAGACTGCCGTGAGACATGGTCCTCCTCCTGCCCTCCTCCTCCTCCTCCTCCTCCTCTAGGCCATAGGGACTGTATCCCCAGGGGGCACTCTTCCTGTGGGAGTGCCTAGCCTGCCTGGGCCTGCGCCCCTCGGGGATTGGCGCCCTACGCAAATGCGTAATTCGCCTAATGGTTCAGCCACCCCTGATGACCTTGGAGGGCTGCATCTGGCCTTAGTTTGGAGTCCTCTGGCATAGACTCTTATTTATTTTCTCCACTTACTGGAGAAAGTGAGAGAAAACATCAGTTGAACAAGGAGGGAGGGGGGAATAGGATTTGGGCTCACACATTTCAGATCTATCCTGCTAACCAAACTTATAGAGGTACAGAAATATTGCATTGGAATCTAAAGTATCTGTGTTTCTAAGGCCCTTTCTATACAGCCCTATATCACAGAATATCAAGGCGGAAAATCCCACAATATTTGCTTTGAACTGAAATATATGGCAGTGTGGACTCAGATAACCCAGTTCAAAACAGATATTGTGAGATTTTCTGCCTTGA